TACACTGAAAATAATATTTTGCCTCCTACTCAGGATCATAAACATTCTGTCAATTTTATAAATTGTTTTTGCACAACAAACTTATGCCCTTAATTTTGGATAATGATCTGAACACTGACTTTCCTGGGTTAGGTACCTCTTTAAAATACCGGTCAGATATTCCTGCACCTAAACTGTAGAAGGAATTTGAACTTTCTTCATATAGGGTACGGAAGAGCACTTAAAATTTACATGGTAGCAAACATATTTGCTGGAAATATCACACATGCCCACAGAATTCTTCAAATTATGGTATCAGTACAAAGTCTTATCGTAGTCAGTTGCTTATTTCTTTCCTCTGTTGCCTTTGCAAATCCATTACTCTGCCTTAACTACAAGTGAACTACAGGGAAAAGGTTGGTGATTCAAGTTCTAAAACTAAGAAACACAAATTCCTCCTTCTCATTCCAAGTCAGACACTTTTTTTATGAAGCTCTGAATTCCAGTTTTAGTTACATCACATAACCAGCTGTGGGGTTTTTATTTTTACTCACATATGGATTTGTACAATATTGTGATTTAAATTACAGTACTTAAATCACTGTTTACTATTTAAGTTCTTTTTTTCTTTAAGCAAGATAAAGGAGCTCAGTTCAAGAGCAACCTGATATTTTGTAATGAAAAGGTTCCAAGCAAAGTTGTCTGATCTTTTGGTATTTTTGGCCAATAAAGTTTTTGTTCTCTGCCAGTTAATGGAAACAGATGATTTAGAAATATAGAACTGGAATTACTGACAATTGTTTTGCCTTTTCACTATTGACTTGAATTTTCCTATAACAGAAAGACCTACTCCTTCAAGTAGTTATTTTCTATTGTGCATTTACAAAAATTTTTACCCAGCAGGAAAGAACAAAAGACATGTGGGGCTACATTTTTTTAACAGTCCTCATAAATGGCTGAAAGTAGGCTTGCTTAGGTTATCGGAAAGCTCTACAAACATAAATAAAACTCATTTATTGAATGAAGTCATTAATTTCATAAGCTGTCCATGAGAGCAAAGTTTGCTCAGTTGTGGGAAGGTCACATCAGCTCACCTAGAGGTACAGCTCCCCCTAGTACTGAATCTGAGGAAAGCTCCACTGATTTCTGATGAAGAAGCTGCTGGAGCAACTACTTCCTGGGTTCCCTTTCGAAAGGGAAAACTAATTCCCTCCACATTGTGAGGGCCATTCCTTCAAGAGTAGTCCTCAAATTAGTTATCAACATCCTTTTTACCACTAAACTGCAAGCATTTGAAAAACACCGTTTCTATGAGTAGTCTTCCTCTGATTTCAGAGATCAAAACCGGGAATAAGGTTGAATGTTGATGTAAGATCTCATTTTTGCTGCTGTGCTACCAACTTTCTCAGCTACTGTACTCATGTCAAAATTATTCTAAAAATAGAAAAAAAGAACACTATACTTACCTTCCCCGTCCCATCTCCAGTCAGGTATTTCTTTAAATGTCTCATTCAATCACTCCTTTGGAATCTATTTTCAAACACCATAGATATTTCAAACGATGTTAAGCATTTCCTCTGAAAAGTTTGGTTCCATAAAGCCTTGCAGAAGTGCTTAACTTTGAGAGAGGTGAGTAACCAAGTCAGAAGGCATAAAAGCAAGCATGCTTATTATACTCTGTAAGGTCTGAATTTAGGAACCTGAAAGCTGAGGCCTCATACCAGACCTCTTAAATTTACATTAGAATGTTACCACACAAATTAAGCCCACATGGGCTCTAGGGTATAGACACATTGGTCTGACTTCACATATTCTATCTGAACAGGACTTTGTAGATGTAAAACTTAAGTATATTTATGATGTTCTTACGTACAGATAAAAATGCTCCAAAGTCCAGGTAGCTGTGTTTGTGTTCCAGTTTCAGCATTTATAGACCAGGCAGAACAAAGAATTCCTTTAGTAAAGGACATTAAGATGTAGCAATAAGATGTTTAAATCCTAGGCCACGTACCAGTATTATCCGTCATCAAAAATATATTTTGTTTATACCAACAATGTTAATTCCAAAAACTACTACAATTACTAACCATTGTCCTTTTTTAATAGGTCTTAGTATAAACAGACCCGTACAAGTAGATAAATGGAGTTTTAGATCACTGCTACTGTCACAGTACCAAACTCGGGAAACAGAAAAAAGTCCAGTTCAGCTAACAAAGGTACGAAAGAACTGGATCCAATCCCTTGTTTAAACTCTAAACTAAGCTGTATGTTATCCTGTAAGTTTCAGTAATATGCCTGAATAGCCTGATCCATCATCTTAACTTTCTAGGATGTGGATTTTGTGTGAGTGTAATTATATTACAGAAAATATGTAGGGCAAATGCTGTGATACAAAATAAGAATATAATAGTAATAGAAATTACTAATCTTTTTATGAGTATTGCACTGTGTACTTTTCTAAGTCACTAAACAAGTATTCCCTCATTATTTCTACCTTTAATTGCCAATTATAGGAGAAAAAGTCAGCAGCAGACAAGAATCAAAAAGCTAAAGCATACACAGATGCCCAAGATAGAACAGAAAAGCAATCAACCAAGAAAATACCAAAGCCAGAATCTTTTAATAGAACACACAGAGGTATATTTTAACATTTTTCTCAGAAACTCTTTTGATCTTTTCAAAAGTTGAATGAACTGATGGTATTGGTAATTTACATGGGTCTGACAGCCATTAGCTGGCACCTCACTGACAGGAACAAAGTAATATATAAAGTGTCACTGAAATCCAGCTGCTGGCGGTGCTACACTGACAGCAGAGCAGCTCCACAGTATAAAGCATCTTCATACTGCTCTACTTCTAAAAGCAGTTCATGGTCACCTTGGTAAAAAGTCAATGCTTTATCTGTAGAAGTACACTTTAGTTGATAGTTTGTTAATTCCACACTAATCACATACTGATCTCAAGATTTTGGTTGTGAATCTTCATCATAGCTGACATCAACAGATATTTCTGGCTGAGAATCTATTGCTGAGACAGGAAAAGAACTTGTTCAAGGGCTGGGAGTTTCTCCTCATTACAATAATCACTGTAAATAGATTTTATGTAAATCTTAGCCATGGGTTGTCTTCTCATAGAACGGTTATATGCAAGGGACTAATCTATAAACACCTTTATTTTGAAGAGATTCTATAGAACAGAAGAAAGAAGGAGCCAAGGCATCTATTCCTTTATCTTGAGTTTTTATTTCTAAAAATATGAATGTTATGTTCATTATAGTAAGGCTTGTAGAAAGAACCAAGATCTGAATGCCATCATGCTAAATACTTCACAAATGGTAGGAGATGTTACATGACCTAAAGGTCACACATTTACAGAGGTGAAACAGGTAGTTGAGGTCACTTACTAGATCAGTAACAGAGCTAGTAACCTGGAATGCATTAACTCCTGTGTTTTGTACTCCACCTTTTCAGCCTGCAGCCTTTCCAGACCCCACCAGACAGCCGAAGTCACCATTTGTCTTTGAAATCCCCTTTTGAAGTTGACAGAAAACACAGGTCTTCCGAATCTGCCTCTGAATCTCTCTCCTCACTGTTTGCCAGACTCTCTTCTGGCTTACTCCCACTGCCAATATTAAGACTTATTTATTGAAGTCTTATTTAGCTATTTTAACTGTTGCAACTTCATAGGCTTGGACTGACTTATACTCTGAGTGTCTCCACAGCACAGAACCCATTACAATTTCTCCTGTGCAGCAGACAAATGTATTTACTGTAGGCATTCAGTATATACATATCTTTTTCTACTAAAAAGTGGAGCCAACTCGGGTACAGCTTAGAGAGTTGCAGTATATTCTTCATGTAGCAAGCAACTGTGTTGTCAATTAAGGGACAGAAAATCATACATATATTTAAGTACCATTTAAAAGCAAGAAAATTACAATTAGAGTTTAGAGTTCATGTGGTTTCTCTGTTGCATTGTACATGACTTTTCTGGCCCTGTATTTTGCCATTACTGATTCTAATTGCATGCTAATTCATTTAATAAAATGAAACACAATGAAAAAGGTAAAAAGACATTTACCTGGATTCAGTGACACAACGATCTTGTTTAAATCTTGCCCCATCCTGTTATATTTACTAGTAAATAGCATTGTCATAACCCTCAAGACTGAAATACTATTAATAACAACTTAAGCAATGAAATAAGGAAGTAAAACATGCTTTTATTAATGCTTCATGACTCTTAATGTTCCTAGGCAATTTAAGAACATTAATAAAACCCACAATATTTCCTTTTAGAGCATTTAAGAGAGGGCAGACTACTGGTGGAAGAATACACTTGCTTGGAATTTATGAAAGAAGAGACAGATTTGCTTAAATGGGAGCTGAAAAAACTGATGAAAACTGAACAAACTCTAAATGACAGTGTAAAAGAGAACAATAAAGAGGAAGATGCAGGGGAAGAATATGAAAATAAAGAAAAAAAGCCAGATGAACACCTAAATAACAGTGAAAAGGCAGAGAGTAAACGTGTTTTGTTTCCAAGAAACAAAACAGTGATTAATCTGAAAAACAAATACATATTCTCAGAAGCCACTAAGAATTTGCATCATGGGCTTCCTACATCAGGTACAAAATCAAAAAAATGCAGTCTTTGCAACCATGGACATGCAGATCAGGACTGCAGTGAAACAGCTGAATCAAAAGGGAAAAATGCCTTTGGGCTACATGAACCATCTTTTGGTAAAGTTACCAAAACAGGGCGGAAAGACAGTTCCACTGAAGCGAAAGGCTGGGCTCATATGACATTTGCTGACAGGAAAAACAGTCTTATGAAAGAACTCTTTGGACCAGGCTGTGTTTGAAGAGACAACCATTCAAGTTCTAACATGAGAGGAATGAAGAAAGAGAAGTGAGAGGATGCAGGATTACACAAGCCAAATTTCAAACCACCCCTACTAACTAGTTCATAACTTAAAGCATCTAATACTAAGGAAGTTGTCATGATGGTACACAAACTAATTATTTTATTTGATATTTAGCTAAGTACATCAACTTATCTTTACTCTAGAAATATGGATAATTTAAAACTTTTCTAAAAATGTTTTCACTTTCATTAAATGCATATTAAATCTTACAAGTACTGAGAATTTCTTTGCATTCTCTCTGCAGTTTGAATTTTGAAGCTGGTTATTTGTTAGCTAGCTGCAGTGAGCAATCTGCTTTCATAAGCTTCATTATTGGGTTAGTACCAACCATGCAATAAAATAAAATAATTTTCTTTGCTCCTAAAATAGCTTCTAGAATTTACACATAGTAAAAATAATTTGCTATTACGTTGTTTTCACTAGCATTATAAAGATCTAAAGCTTCAATTTTTTTCAGTGTTAGAACTTATCAAAGCAGTTTGACTGGTAACTTCCACAGCCGACATCCAAAGATGAATGTGCAAAAGTAAACTATTGTTTTGGAGAAGTCAGGCATATCCAGTTCTCAAAAAGCCTTCAAAAAATCCTATGTTTAAGGTTATGTAAGCGAGGGTAGGAGGATTATGTTTTGTTCCTCACAGAAATTCATGAAATGTTTCATAAAATCTGAAGTTAGGGAAAACTATGTGTGTTCTATTAAGTTTAAAAGACAGTAGCACTTAAAAAACCCAAAACCCAAACCTTCAAAAAATTGTACTGCAGAAGGTAATTAAGACATTTAGATCTGAACCTATTTGCAGCATGTTTCTTTTCAAAATTTCAAAGGTTTTTCTTGAAGTAGTGCTTAAACTGCACGGTGGACAGGTTTCAAAGAATGACTTTGTGTAGTCAGAAGAGTAGGTGTTTCTCCTCTATGAACTATTAATACTTCTACAACACCTTTATTGCACTCCCAAAGCTAAGAGCAAACAAGCATACATAATCCCACCCTCCTATTTGTACTGACTAGGTCACCAGAAGCCTTTTTGCCCTTACTCACCCAAATGTTTGACTAAAGCAGCCAACAAACTGTGTATTTGATGACTCCATGCTAAGTGTGGATAAACAGCAAATGCCATTGTGAAGATTTTAAATGATGCTGCTTAACTTCACTGTGTTAAACTCCATAACAAGCTAAGTAGAAATATCATTAGCCACACCTTTAGATTCAGAAATATGTCAATGTCATAGTTAAATCATCTGTCCTGAATACTTTAGAAAAATAATAAATTAGGCATGTTGATTCCAACGGTATCTCCCTATGCAAGAACATGAGGTGGGTTTGTTGGTTTGAATTTTGAGGTGGGTTTTTATGTTTTTTAGGAAAACTGTAATTAATATTGAAAAATGGATTAGAAAACTTGAGCTGGGTTGAAAAACTTTATTTCATTAATAAAAGCACAATTATACGTAACATTAAATCACAACATTCTTTTCTTGATGATATTTAATACACCTATGTTCATGTTGGCTAAATGTAATCCCTAATATAAAACAATTTTGTAAAAATTAACATTTAAAAAACCCCATGCATATATACATACACACACAATGTATGAAGTAATTTCTAAATGCAGTGCTAATTATGGAGGGGCCCCAGCCCCTTCCTGCAGGAAGGCAAAGGACCTGAGATAACATAAAAAAATGCATTCCACTGTAGAGAGTGGGAAGCTGAAACAGAATAACCAAAGCCCAGCAGAAGAGGGAAACACATCTCCTGGAGCTTTGTTCAGGCTCATGTCAAAAAAAAAACCCCAAAGGAGGTGTGGAACAAGAACTTTATAAACCACTCATTTATCTTATGGGACAGCAAGGACAGGGTTGCAGATACCACTGTAGCTTGGAAGATAACGCAACTTTGTCGCTGTTCCACAGCCACGGTACTAGGAATAGTTCTGTCCACCTTTAAATTCAAAGAAGGATTTACTCCAAAAGAGAAAACTGTTTTCCCTCCTCCTGCTTGCTACCATTCTGTTACTACTTCAGACATTTAAATCTCTAATTTGCCTTTTTACATTTACACAGCTGTTTCTGTCTATCCTGGACTATCATTAATATATGATAAAGCCCTTAGAAATGTAGTTCTCTGAAGGAACAGCACTGTCTTCTACTTTCTCTTTCTTAACATGGAGCTTGAGAAGGTTGGCCAGACATTTCCTCCCAAAACATGGAAGGAAATAGTTTCAGTGATCCTCTCTCAGTCTGGGAAGCAGAAAAAAAATGTCAAGAAAGGAAAGGTCAGTTATCAATAAAAGTAGCAAAAAAATCAAGTGTTCAATGAATTTTAAAAATCAGGGAGGAAAATGTAGCCAGCCTTCCTGTATTTGGCAACTGAGTGAGTCTCTTAAGAGTTGATTTGCACATATATCAATAACACATTTTCTAAGACAGCTGAAGAATACATCAATTCTAGTGTAAAAAAAAACAAGGAAACTTATTCTGTTTTATGCAAAGCCAACCAAACCACCTACCTCTATCCTCTAGCACCACTTGTCACCAAATACAATATATCCCACCTTTGGGTGAAATTGCCGTATTATACAGCAAAGCTCACTAATTAATTCCTGATGCCAGTGCATTTCCAACTTAACAACAGGAATGCAACACTTGTAGATTTTGGTGAATATATGCCATGACAAGTCTTACGGTTCTGCCGTGAATCAGCGTTCATACTTGTCAAAATAGACACAATATGAGGTTCTATAATCTGAAAAACTAAGGAAAGATAAAATAAATCCTTTTGATACTGACTGATATCTAAAGGAAGTAACAGAAATGACCTCAGACCTAGTCTCATGAAAGATAACTGTTCCTTTTTTTTTTTTTTAAATTCATTTGAAACAGTGATAATGAGAAAGTAGTTGAGGACTCCACAAATTACTGGGATCCTTCAGCTGAAAGGGTGTAGCATGATAGCTACAACTTTATTACAAACCACAAGCCAACATGTAATTCCAACACCACCTGAAAGAGATACAAAACACAGTTTAAGTCATTGCATCAATAAACCTGAAGCACACAAGCTTCTGAAAAACAACTTTGGAAGTATAAAAAAAATGAAACTTAAGAGTTGTAAGGTGAACAGGAACAAAATATCTTTCTTTTTATATACAAAAGTCTCTCTTCAAGGGATAACGGCTAACTCCGTGCTGATCTGGAAAAAAACTGAAGATTGTCCAGGGAAGAGTACCAAATAACATGAATATGAGCCCAAATTCAGTATATATGACCTACAGCCTCTAAAAACATTTGCTATGTCCCTAATAGAAAATGTCTAAGGCATGGCAAGTAACAGAATACTTTCCTAGAACCTAAATTCAAGATTTGAGATGCGTAAAATTTCCTCTGAAACTTAAATCAGTCTTTTTAAAAGTATTAAATCCATACTTCTCTCCTTTCCCCTTGCTCCTCATACAGCTACACAGAAAAATGCTACTGTGACCTTCACTACTCACCCAGAGGCCTTGCACCACTGTTTTAAAGGGTCCTGTCATCCAAACTAGCAGCACAGAAATTTGTATTGGTATGATGGAACAGAGGGTGTGTCCTGACTGTAATACACAGCACATCCACATTGCAGCCTCCACAGAATCATGCTACATAGCTATTCATACCATACACGTGAATAAACTACCTTTTTGGTGATTTTTAGGCATTTTTGTGTTTATCACCTACAGTTCAAAAGTGATCTCCTTACTGTGATTATCAGCCAAGACAAAAAAGGAGTTTTGAAGGCAGATGTGGATGTGAACCTTTTAAAATCCCTTTAAATAGTATTTAAATAGATGTCTTCCAAGGACTATTCCCCCACCCTGCACAGAAGCAGACTCTTGTCCCGTAAGCTTGCTGAATACAAATCATTCTCTAGACAGCTATTACAGATAAAACAACATACAACGTACAATTCCAACAACATACAATTCCAACAACATATTTTGAAATTCCTTCAAAAGCAGTTGGGACTTACAAGCCTAACATGAAGATTCACCAGCTGCATTTTAACTTGATGGTAAATTTCCACCCTACATTGTCCTGTCATTCTGCCTGTCTACGTAGCTCACTAGCATAGAGCCAGCATGGTTTTCACTCAGAAACAAGTATCTACCACCTATGATATTGTTGTGATCATTAATTCATTAAACTGGCCAAAAGAAAAGGATTTAATTAGATAAAAATGCAACAGAAGTGCAATGGAGAGGACAAAACACCAAGAGAAGCATACCTAAATCGTTCTGGAGTTACACTACTATGAAACCCCAGCAATTTATAAGACGGACATGTAAGCGATACAGAGCTATGAAGTATCTACCCATTTGTAAACCCAATTCTACTATTTCAGGGGACTTCTTAACATAAAAATATTTCTGAATTGAAATCTTCTCCAGGGTCTATTTCATATTAAGATAAAGCTGTGCTATTTGAGAAGAAATAAAAATGACAAATAGGCTGTTTCCTTGAATACATAGGAAGCAGCTAATCAAATGTTTGGAACTCCTCCCTGTGTTAAGGGAGTTAGAAGAAACATACAGAAGCAGTGCTTTTAATCTATATATGCTCCTTGTCACTACATTGTTAGCATCTACAGGCGCTTGGGAAATGTATTTTTTTCTACTGTATAGTCCTTACCTGCCACCCCCGTAGGAAAGGCTACCAAGCGCTCCAGCGGAGCAAGCCATTTGCTTGGAAGCACTGTAACTGGCTCAGAATAGTACTTCCAAATGAGAGAGATCATCAAGGCAGCCTAAAATTGAAATTTTTATTAGCTTGGATAATAATACACATCAAAGTACATTTTCACTGCTATTTTGAAGAAGTAAATCACAGATTCTAATTAAAGAGAACAGTTTATTATTTTACATTGTTCTTAAGCAAGTTCAAAATACTTTTAAACTTAATAT